TTACTTTGGTATTTTAAAGCAAAAAATTGCCCCTGTTCCCATGAATGAAAGGTGGAACAAAAAGCCATATGCCTTCAGTCATATGACCAACCTTTTGAAACTGTGAACTGGTCATTGGAAATGAAAGAAAAATAGAACAACAGAGATGTCATGAAAGGGCACACATAAGGTACCCATCACTGGGCCCTGTCCTCCATGTGAATCAAACACATTTTCCTCTCTGGTTTTAGAAGCCCAGCAACTTTTGTCATTTTGTCATTTTGTCATTTTGAAGAATCTTGAGCATTGAAATCAGGGAAGAGCCCTTGGTAAGTGTAAATTGCTAACACTCTAGAGTGAATGCAGTAAAAGTGAAACCAGGAGTGACTAGGGAGCAGTTGTGGGAAATGACAAGGCAAGTTGTATTCAGCCAATGGGAGGTCCCTGGCTGTGGTAGGCTTTGAAAACTGCACAGTAAAACTGCTTCCTCTAGACATGGCCAAACATTTAAACAAATCTGAGAAGCCCTGACAATATGAGAGACACTAATTATTCAGTATGTTGCAGAAACCAACTGTAATAGCTGATTCATTTCTCATCCCTGGGCATCTGCACTGCTTTTAATTGGACAGGTATGATCCAAGGGGCCAATTTCATATCATAGCTAACAAAGATTCCTTGAGACTCAAAGTTGTTAGATTTTTGTTTCCAACATAATGTTAATTTTATGCTTTTTTTATGTCTTCATTCCTTGAGGGAGAATTAATGGTGTTGCCTTGGAAGGCAGGAGTTGGCCATGAATATAGATCTTCTATACCATGCTATGATGTTTTTAATCCTACATCACTATGGTTCTGAGTACTAAAAGTGTTTCTTGCTCATAATATCAGACCTTCCTCCTAGTGTCATCATAACAGTTAGTGTCATACACTTATGTACTTTTAGAAAAAGGCCAGTTGATTATTTTTCCAAGATTAAAAAGAAAGCAAAGCAAAGCAAAACAAAACAAAGCAGGTGAAAGAGCTTACCCCTAGGTCATGAGAGAGACAAAGCTAGCCCTGCTCCTTACTAGCTGTAGCACACAAGAGAGCAGGGCCCTGAACCCCACCTGGGCAGCATACTAGTGTTGACCTTGTTGTCTGGTCACAGCTGAGCCAGCCTTGAGGGCATGAGGGCAGGAGAGCTTATCCCCTATCTTGGCATGCCCTCTACAGCAATCAGGAGAGAGGGCCCTGCTCCTTGCCTGGGCAAAACAATAGAGCTGGCCCTGGTGGTGTGAGTGTGGGAACCTAGGAACAAGAGAACTGGCCCTGCTACTTGCAGGCTGCATTCATTGGGTGAGCCTGGGTAATGACAATGAATGAAAGCTGGTGGGCTGACCATCCCAGCTATGACTCAGGCCCAGAACTAGGGCTATGAGTTGGCCCACCCCAACATCCACCAAATCTATGAACTGTGGAGTAGGTAAAGGGTATGAATCTACAGATCTAAAACAGCAGGATCACCACAGCACAGGACAGCAAAAGGATTATCTAAGAGGAGCCCCAGCGCAAACTCATTACAGGTGGCAGTGGTGCAGCAGAAGCCAGAGACCTTGAGCCAGATCAATGACTCTGGCAACTTGCAAACAAAGATAAATATACTAAAGGGTAAACTGTGTGTCTCAACAGGCCACACTACAGCTTCCGTGACAAGATTCTTTTTTCTGTCTCTGTCTCTCTCTGTTTCTTTGGTTTTGTTTTCGCTTTTTCTTTTAAATTTGGTTCTGCTTATTTGAGAGGAGGTTGCAAGGGTAGAGGGCATATGTTAGGGGCCAGGGAGGTAAGTGGGATCAGAATGCATGATGTAAAATCTACAGAGAATCAATAAAAGTTAAAAACACAAAGAGCTAACGGAAGGGGGAAATACACAAGAGTTTGCTTCAAGCTACCACATTGCTTCTTTCAGCTAGATCACCATAAAGGAACATCTTTTGTAGCATTTTGGGCCAATCTAGAGCTTTGCTAAGGAATTTTAAAATATTTCAGATATGAAAAGGTCTATGATCACCTTCACTATCAGGAGTTGATGGAATTTACTCATGTTCTGATAAAAACTTTAAAATGTACTATCATGAAAGAAGATTAACTCATGTTAATTGCAAGCCTCCTAAAATTGAGTCACTATTCTGAGACTGTATAATTCTTTAAAGCATAGACAATTTTCAGTCAGCCTGAGAAGGAAGAAAGAGAAGCCATTAATATTTTCAATTATAGAAGAAGACGACAGAACAGGCCTGAAAACTAAGAAAGGAAAAGGTATAAATGGGCATACTAATTATATAGGAAGGACATTCTCCTCAGATGTAAACTGTTATGCACAAGTTTAGTCTGGAACTCAAACATGACTATACTCAATAGTCACCATTTGCAAGATGATGGTTAGGAAGTGAGCTATCAAACAATACTGAATCCCAAGAAAGTATTGGACCTACGAAGGTAAATATGTTTAAAGATATTTTAAAATTTCACATGGGAAGAGTAATAGTCTTTGGTGTTTTATTCTGTTGTCACTGTTTACAAATAATATCCATGGTGGATTCTAATATGAATCATAAAGTGTTTAAATATAAATTATAAATATAACATAATATAAATTATAATATAAATTATATAATATAAATAATATATATAATATAATATAATATAATATAATATATAAATTAATATAATATAATATAAATATAATATAAATTATAAAGTCTGTCCATTTACTTTCAGAGAAAAACTAGTACTTAAGGCCCACAGTCATGTGTACAATCTCCTTGGATAGGAGGGGACAAGACAAACAGTTTTGAGCAATAAACAACCATTATTTGTACCTTACAGCTCTTATGCAACAGTTAGAAGAAATAGTTCTTCATAAGCAATATTCCATACTTATGTCCATAGCCTTTATAACTGCAAATATAGAGATACCTTGTCACACCATAAGCTCAAGACTCATGTCTTCATGCAACTTCCAAGCCTTAAGCGGGCACCATGAAATGCACACATATGCACATAGGCATACACTTGTGTGATTCTGTTTATGTTCAAGAAAAAATGATGCCATCACTCATTTCCCTTGGCGTGGAGTATTTTGATGGGGAAACAGGATTATACGTTGCTTCCAACATTCAGCTTGTTCTTACTAATTCAGATGCATAGTGCCTAACTAAATTTATCAAACATGAGTATATATCAGGTAGTGAAGACACACTCCATTTTATAGAGCCTGCGTATGACCACTGATCTTTATGAAGCAAAGTACTCATCTCATAAAAATAATTAGCTCATCCAGGTGTTAGTGGCACACGCCTTTAATCCCAGCGCTGAGTAGGCAGAGACAGGCCGATCTTTGTGAGTTCGAAGGAAGTCTGGTCTACAGTTCGAGTGCCAGGATAGGCTCCAAAGCTACACAAAGAAACCCTATCTTGAAAAAAATATTAGCTCTAAATCCATTTAAACAAACCAGTCATTTAAAATATTTCTTCCAATGTTCCAATTCAATAGTTCATATGATGAAGTATGGTGTGATTACCATATATTAACCTTTGGAAATTTGTAGTTCCAATTAGATTCAATGAGTATTAGTATACAAAGTTGAATTATTCACAATTCTAAGAAAAACATATATTAACAGAAATGTGCTCTTCTGGCCCTTTGTTTACCTTAAAAATATGTTTCTTACAAAAGCAAAAACATAATCGTAAGATCTGTTTTGCTTAATGGAGCCCTAGCTGCTCTTTTCCCACCATAGGCTTTTTATTAGGGAGTTAACATTGCACAGACTCTCCTGTGTTTCCATGGCTCTCTATTTTTTGAGTCCTGGAAATAAATGATAGCATGAAAGGAAAGCATGGCAGTACTTAATCAATCGAAGGATCCCCTCTCTAAGATCTGGAATTAGGTGCCAAGAAGGACCCATCCTGAATGAGCCCCAGTTCAGAGGCTGTTGCTGTGGCATTTTGGGAGAAAGGTCACTCCCTCACTGAAAGCCATGTTATCTGTATCTGGGACTTGAGGTGGCCATGCATTCTTGAGTACCTTACAACCAGTGCCTGTGTGGCATGTTGCCAACCACAGATTGTTCTTGGGGGAAAATACACAAACCACTCATTGGCATTCAAATAATACTAATTGGTATTGATAAATTGTCTTTTTGCTGAAGTTTTTTTTTTAAACAACATCTACTCATCATAATTTCTATTGGCATCATCTATGGGATAATGTGTCACACACACCTGCCTAAAGACACTGGACTCCCACTGTCGGCTTTGAATTCAGCTCTATTTGTTATACCAACCTGATATCTTTACACAGGAAGATATTTTCCTAAAAATACTAATTTTCCTCTAACTGCTGCAGCTGCTCCTGCTGAACACCCAACATTTCCAGGGAAATCACATCTACACATACATGTAAAATCAGGAAAACAAGCTGCTTTATTGCACGATTTAAAATAAGCTCAATCAGAGAAAAGAACAACTGCTACAATGTACAACTTGATGAGCAGCTGAAGACGAAAATACACTCAGATCCAGTCATAGAATCCAGGATGTATTTTATTCAGGGATGTTTGCATGAGGCAAAGGACACTTCTTGCCTCACTTTTTCTGAATCACAGAATCAACATGTAGGATTCATATGGCTCATATAATCTAAAATAGGCTTGGAAATGTTCTAGAATATCATCCCAAGGCTCTACTGGTAGGAAGAAAAGAAAGGCATTTCTCCTTGTAGATTTTAATTAAAAAATTATACCTTTTAAAATGTTCTACCGTAAGAATTTTAATGAGAACAATAATTATCCCATGCCATGTACTATCAACAATCACCCTGTCATCAGTGAACACGTGTCAAACCTATCGAAGAGCAAACATTTGAGTATAGACTAACAAATGACACAGATTCAACCAATCATCATTAATCCAATACTGCACAGGCCAAGAGAAAGAAGACCCTGAAGGCATGTGGAAAGAAAAGGGAAATGAGCCTTACTCTTGACAGTCGCTGTCCGGGTACAGTTGTAAAGAATAGCCAGTTCCCCAAACACTTTTCCTGGACCCATGGTGCACAGCTTCACACCTTCTTTTGTAACTTCAACCTTCCCATCTGAAAGAAGAAGGGAAGACATGTTATCTTAATTCTCTCCCATGCTATTTCATTTGTTGCATCTTCATTATGACATGAAGAATATTGATGTTGTTTAAAAAAATGCATCAGTGAACCAATTCCAACCAAGTTTTCCCCAAAGAATCATATGAGAAATGCAATTAAATATGTGTGTTAAGAATCTCATCTCTTAAATTCTTCACCGACAGATTTGGAGTGTGATTCAAAGAAAAGGCTGGGAAAAGATGGGGACCAAAACATGAGCATATGAAACTACTCCACATGCAATTTTAGCAAACCACAATAATTCCAATTTTAACATTACTTTACATCCAAAAGGAAATTCGAGTAAGTGGGCACATTTTCTACAGCATGCTTCAGACTTGAAAATTCTCATTTTGAGAAAGGCAGTTATTATAAAGAGAGAAATTACTCTGACCCTTGGGCATTATTTAATTGCAGCTTTGGGTACTTTTTATTTGGAAACATCCTATCAGCTAAGGCAAACCGTTTCTATGCTTCCTAGCCTGTGAAGTTGACTATCAGTCAAAAATGTAAAAAAAAAAAAAAAAAAAAAAAAAAAAAAAAAAAAAAAGCAGCGGTAAAGCACAAGGACTGTTTATGCTCTACAATCGGCTAGGAAAATAAAATGCTAAAGAAGGAAAAAGCTAAGGAAACACTATACACTGGGTACAAATTGCTGTTCACAAACAGGGAAGGCAAGAACTATTCATGGGGGAAATACTAATTTTAAAAAGTCATAGCTGTGTAGCCTAAAATTTCCATCACCCAATACAGCCAGAGGAGAAATAAAAAGCAACACACTCTATTCTAGAGATAATCCTCTACTTTTGCTATTTTCCCAATCTCTATGGTAGAAAAAAAACCCCAAAAACAACAAACAAAAAACCAAAAAATCCTTTCTACTGGCAAAAGAACGTAGCCATGATTGGTCATTCCCAGTGTTGCCTTAACTTCGGGCCCCATGCGCCAGCATCAGAGCTGCCTCTTTGTGTGCCTGTTTCTGTAAAAGCTCCTTTTTTTTTTTTTTTAAGTGTTGAGAATAAATTCATTCCCGCTTTTAAATCAATTGATTTTAATCTAAATACTCATTTAAAAAATTCTGACTTACTTTCATACACTTGTTGAGAAATAAGTCTTAAACATTAAAGGCGTTTTAACTATGCATCTGTGAGGCCCCATTTTGCCTGTAGAGCATATTCCCTCTGAGCCTCCCTATCTGAACAGTATCTGTGGGTAGGGGATTCGAGGATAACTGAGATAAAATACAGAATCTACTCACCATACTGGAACTGCATTACTCTGTATAAGTAAGCTATGAATGAGCAAATCTGATGATTCCATAGGTTTGGAACTGCTCAGATCAAACATTCTATAGCTTACTCATGCTCACTTACTGACTATAGCAAGGGAACACCCTCTTTCAAACTACATCAAAACCAGCCCAGGGAACTTATCTATTCATAATTATAGCATCCTCAATTTTTTTAGTGATAGATTTATTCCCTAGAAATTTCATGTGACACTCCAGAGTGAGACAGAGCAGATTATAGCATGGTGAAATTAATACATTGTCTGAAGTCAGACTAGGAACTTATTTTTCTTAGCTGTTCATTACCAGTCCTATGTCATTTGGTAAAGTTGCTTAGCTTTTCAGTAGTTTACTTTCTTCATTAGTAAAATCAATATTGCCACGATATCTATCTCATTCAATAATTTTTACATTTAAATAAGACAAGGAAAAACAAAATCCTTAACCCTGCAATAAATGTCTAATACATGTCTGCTCTTATTGCTGATGTAATTTTCATCATGTTTGTTTATTATTTAAATAGAAGTAAGAATTATTTACAATATATTCCAATATTATAATCAGCTACTTAAGGAACAGGTTTTCTGTTTTAATCAAATAATTTGTTTTTAGATTTATCCAATGAGGGGTAAAGGTGGTGAGGAGAAAACATTCCAGCTCAAATCTGTATCAGACCCAAAGAAGAAAATAGAAACCCAAGAAAATCACTGATTCACCTGGGAAAACGGGAGACTGCCCAGCCCTTGGACTTTTCTACATTCACTGTTGTTCAGACTATCTCTAGCAATACCATCCCAATAAAAGACAAGAATCAACATTAGGGCTGTTGTTTGAAGTGGAGATTTCTTCAAGTAAATCCTTGGACCTATGGCATCAAACCTAACTTAGGAAACCTAGATGATGATTCGTATAATAAGTTGAAAGTATCCAACTACCATTATGAGCATTACACCTGGTCCTGTAGACATCCTTCCCTTCTAGACAAACCATATTCATATAACCCATATCTACTTAAATGTATGAACAACTATTCTTGTAAGTGATTATCCCTTCAATTTTTATGACCTTCAGAAAGCTCCTCCCCTGAAAACTGTGCGACTCTAAGGTTTGAAATGTATGCACAAATCAATTTCTATCTCCAAATTATTTTCTTCATCTTTTTTATACAGAATCTCACTGTGTAGACCAGACTGGTTTTGAATTCACAGAGGTCTGCCTACTTCTGCCTCCTGAGTAGTAGGATTAAAGGTATGTACCACCACACTCAGTTTTATTTTCCTAATCTTATTTGCATAATTTTCTTACATCTAACTGAACTTTTGTTGAAAAATAGGTATAAATTATACATGTGCTAATAATTCATTTATATATTAATAGCTGATGTTGGCAACAGACATTTGTATTCCTTATTAATTAGAATGTTAAAATAAACTATTCGGTATTATACTTGATAAATACTAGTTTGGATCTATCTTTCCCAGGCTAATTTAAATACTGGACAGTCAGTAAGGTCACAAATACCGAAGAAGTATAAGGGATCTGATGTCATATGATATATTACACTTTCTTTTGTATTGCTTTTGTGTTTGTGACAGGGTCTCATGCAGCCCTAGATAACCTCAAACTTCTATGTAGCAGAGGATGGTCTTGAACTCCAGATCTTTCTTCCTCTACCTTCAGAGCACTGGAAATAGAGGCATAGGTCCCCATGTCCCACCTGGCTTAAAGCACAGGTTCTTGTTGGTGGTGTTATAGTTTAATGGACAGGCATAATTAAATTAGAAAAAGAAAATGATTATAACTTATTACCCTGAATCACAGTTTGGCTGCTTCTTTTGTTTCATACCTGTTGTGAGAATGAGAATAATTAACAAAGAGGAGGGACAGATCATAGACTCATATGACAGAGACATGCACATGGCATGAAGGAGAGCTCTTTCAAAGGCATGGAGAGATATCTTAGTTTCTAATAACTAAGAAAAATGAGTTATTGGTAAGGAATTGGTTAAGTTTACTTATTAGATTTCATACCAATCTTAAGTAAAGCCAGAAGCAACTGTGCATTTAAAAGTGGTTTTCAAGAATGGACTGTATATTCACTTATGAACACTAAGTGAGCCATCTTTCAGTGTCTACCAGTTATCAACTTGAGATATTTTCCTATCTGAGCACATCATTTGCATATCTGAACTAACTCTATATACCTAAGAGTTCCTACTCCCAAATAACCAGCTTGTTCTAAAGTATTGGGGAGTTATGAGATTATTTTTTGTTGCTACTTCATAACTGCAATTTTGCTACTGTTCTGAATCATAATGTAAATATCTGATATACAAATGGTCTTAGGTGACCCCTATGGAAGAGTTATTTGACCTTTAAAGGGATCTCAACACCCACAGGCTGAGAACTGCTGACTTAGACCTACTCATTCATGGATTTATTTCTCTTTCTATTCTACTCAGTGGCCACCTCTGAGAGCAGGTTAAGCTGACAGTAGTGAAGTCTATGAGTGATGATTTTGGTATGGAGGCAAGAGTAAGGTGCTTTTACCAAATGTAGAATGGTCTGCCCTGAAAGCTCTTCATTATTATGATTTTTAAACATAGAATGGTCTGCTCTGGAAGTTCTATAGTATTACAATATTTTAAATAAATTCAATGATTCATCTTGGTGAGTTCCCTTTAGGTCAACCATAATGAATATAACTTCTATTTCTTTTAAAACAAGGATGAAATTAATCATCATTTATTCATAACTATTTTAATACTTTAATTTGACTCTCAAATATTTTAAATTTCAAACCAGACTTCTTAAAGAGTAGCAGAAATGTAATTTTTCAGACTACTTAGTAATGTTCTATAATATTCAAAATGTTCCTTCCCTTTGACTAATCCCATGAGTTCCTACAGATTATCAGTATTTACCAATAAACCTAAAATATCTAGCTAATTTTAGCACTCTACTTTGCTCCTTCTCTTTTATTTCATTTTTTCATAACATGATACTCTCTTGCTATTGGTTTCACTGTCCTCTGGTCATCATATGATATACAAAAAAACCATACTAGTCATTTGGATTTTCCTAAATTGTGAACATGTTTTGCTTGAAATAAGAGGTTAAAACTGGTGGGTGAAAACATGTTCAATGTTATTTATGGTTTCATTTTTTCTTATTCCTGCCACCACCATGAATAATTGACAGCTGTATCACAGAATGTTGAATACATTTTTGATTCTACTTTAGATGCCTATTTGTGATCTGAAACAGGCTGAGTCATGTATCCTAAGCCTGACACTGTAGCTGCAATTGATTTGCCTTCTGCTTTTGGCACCCTTCTATGTGCATGACCCTGGGGAGACTCAAAGTGCTAAGAGAGCTATTAGGAAGCATCTATGCTTTTGTCTATGTTTCATAAGAATCGGGAGTGTCAATAAATAAAGAAAGAAAGAAACTGAATTTATAAAGAGACGCCAAATCCCCTGCTTTTGTTTATCCTGGGTTTTTTCCTACTGTAGGGTTTTGAGCCATAAGGATTCTCATGATAAGTAGAATTAGCTTAGCGATTTATTACTGCCAGCCAGAAGAGAATGGCTGTTCACAACCTGATTATGAACACTGCTCAGTTACAGCAATCTTGGTTGGCACATTGAGGACAGCTTCTTTGGCC